TTACACAATTTTATTCTCCAAATCTATTGATTTTTTAAGCCAGTATTGATTCTTTTGATACATATTTTAAAGTCTAAATTTCTAAAAGCTTATTCTTGCTCTGTGTTGCTTTTTCTAAAAAAATAGTATTCTGATTTTGCTTCATGGATGTTTCATATTTGTGAAGATATTAATTATATGCTTATTGCACATGTAATTTTAATATATATATTATGTATGAAAATAAATTATATACATATAATTTTATAAAATATATCTTAAGCTCTCTGTATAGTCTTTTCCTTCAAATTTCCTTTCCTCCAGTTCACTCACTCAATCATTGAATTTTTATGTCTGGTGACCCTTGATTACCTGCTTGTATTTAAGAAAGGGGCACTCACTAAAAAGCTCATTGGCGGCTATGTGCACTCGAATTGGGGACTCATCATCTGGTTTGATCTTTCACCAATAAATCCCTTTGTCAGTATCTTTTGTTCCTCTTCTTGGGACTGGCCAGACTATCCAGAGAAAAATCTTATAATTTCCTGCGTAAAGGAAGTAAACCTGGCTGCCACTGTTCTGTGCGCTGAGTAGAGAGTGCTCAGAACTTTAATATTTTGTATGCATGATAGGCAGAATAACAGCTCCCTAAAGATGTCAATATCCTAATGCCCAGAACCTATAAATGTGTACTTTATATGGCAAAAGAAACCCAGTAGATGTTAAGGATCTGAGATGGGGGGATTATCTTAGATGATTTGCATAGGCACACTGTCTTCACAAAGGTCATCATAGGACAAAGAAGGAGGTGACTGTCAGAGTCCCAGAAGGAGATATGATAATAGAAGCAGACACTGGAGTGATTCGGGGCCATAGGTCAAGATATGAGGTGGCCTCTAGAAGCTAGAAAAGCAAAGGACATGGAGTCTTTCCTGAACTTCCAGAAGGAACACAAACCTGCTGGCCCAGTGTAGACTTCTGGCCTCCAGAACTTTAAGATTATAAATTTGTATTGGTTTAAAGAACCAGGCTTGTCCTAATTTGCTATAGCAACAGCAGGAAACTAACAGAGTATGTAAACTTTCACCTAATGCCCATCTTTTCATTATAGAACCTCCACTTTAAGCTTTGTCTGCTGTTTCATCTTTTCTAGGGAGGAACCCTTGAGTCTTCTGCTTGAGTGAGAGGGGGACAGTTGCTTGGTTCTCAAATAGACAAAACTACTTCCTATTTTCAGCCAGTCTTCACTTCTGCTTCCAGAAATACCCAGTGATACCCATCCTTGGACTTTCGGTGGCTCTGTGGGGAGTCAGCCAGCTTGCCTCTTTAGTAGCCCCACAGCTGGCTTAAGGGTATCACTTATTCTTCTACTTTATAGCTTCCAAAATTCTGTCACCATTATTTGCCTTCAGTTTTCATTGTCTTTGTAGTACCTCTCTTCCCTGCTCTCTGGTTCCCCAACCAAAAAAAATTACCCAAGCATTTATTATTGCTTCATTGTGATTTTCTGACATAGTAGAGGTACATATGCATGATCAATCAACATTGACAAGGTTAAAAAAATGTTAAGTGCTATGATTTTATACTGATTTTTCCCTGGTGTGGTACTGGATGGTATGTATTATACACTGAGAACATAACATTATGCTGGTAGAGTTGTAGGTACGTTAGTATGACCTGTGGGAGGTAAGAAAATGGTTTTATAGGAGGGTGCTCTGGGTTTAAAGGCTTTTCTCACTTACTACTAGTGTGACTTTCAGCAAATTGCTTACCGGAGCCTCAGTTTCCTCATCTGAAAGTATCTGGAAACATGGTAGAAACCATATTTAATCCACAAATAAATTCAAAGAATGAATTTAGACAAGGTGACAGATAAAAGTGCGTGGCCACAGAATTCCTCCATTGTGGAGCAGAAATACAAGTGAACTGAGATGGACTCAGTTATATAGATGGTACTTTCTGTGCCCCTCCTGTATGTAACAGGCTTCCCAGGTGGCTCAGTGGTAAAGAATCTGCCTGCCAAGCAGGAGACACGGGTTTGATCCCTGAGTCAGGAAGATTCTTTGGAGCAGGAAGTGGCAACCCACTTCAATATTCTTGCCTGGAGAATTTCATGGACAGAGGAGCCTGGCAGGCTACACAGTTCATGGGATCGCAAAGAGTCGGAGACAATTTTGGGACTAAACCATCACACTTCTACATTACAAGTACTTAATACAACATTTGTGGGATGAATGAATGTCTTCTCTTAATAAAGCATTTCAGAAAACAACAATGAATATAGCCATTCTTAAATGCTACATGAACCTTAAAACAGGCAAAAAAAATTTTTTTAAGTCTTTAAAATTTTTCTTCCCCATCTCCTTATTTTCATTCCCTTTAACAGAAGACTGTATTTTAAGCTTTTAATTGTTCCATTTTCCTGAAAAAATCATGGATGTGAGATTAAGAAAGAGATAAAGAGCAATCTTGTCAATTCTCCTCTAGAATCTAGACTATCCTCCTAGGTTTCTTATTTCCTCTCCCTCATTCCCTTCCCCCTCTAAGCCATTTTCCACACAGCAGGCAGAGTGATCTTCAAAAACAAAATACATACCAGAGTGAATCACTCCCCAACTTAAACTCTCTTATCGGCTTTCTATCTTTCTTGGAATAAAAACAAAACAAAACAAAACAAAAAACTCCTTGGCACAAACAGCAAGACTTTTCAAAACTCCATTTTCATCTTTAGCCTCATCTTATACCACTGTCCTCTCTCTCTTGCCTTGCAAAGTATCTTGGGTATAGTCATTCCTCAATACATATTTGTTGAATAAGAGGATTAATTAACAAGAGATCAATGAACATATTAGAAAGAAAAAGGGATAAAATTTAAAATATACCACTTTAAGGGCCATGATCTTATTTTCAAATTTTCCTATTGGGTCAGGTTAGAAAATTGCTGTGAACCTAACAGCTTGATAAGTGTTTACTTTTAACTTTGTCTTTGGAGTCAAAGGATGGCCTTGGGAGAGGAGAAGAGAAACTAGATGAGAGAGGAGATAACTAACCTCCTTTCTAACTAATAGATAACTAACTAACAGGTAACTAACCTGCTTTCTAACTAATGAGCTGGACAGTGTTAGGGAGAGAAGATGGCTACAGTGAGGCTAACAACCCTTCAGACAGACAATGTGTATCTAGTAAATATATATAATCAATAAATATTTGTTGATCTGATGAATAAAAATTGCCTTCTTACTTTACCATATGCTTTCCAAACTACAAGTAACCCTGTATAATTTCCTACTTAATGCTGCCACCGAAGATTACTTCTGCCTGTTTTTAGCTCTTTTTTTTTTCTTTTTGATAGAGGAAAAGTCAACTTGCTATTTGTTTACAGTTAGGTCAAGTCATACTGCTTTAAGGATGACTATTCTAAGTCCAATTTAGAAGAGGTCCATTTAGTATTCTAGTTTATAAGTATTTCACTACACATTCACAAAAACCATTTTCTTTCAAAGTCATTAGAGATCTCACTTCTTACATCCAATGTAATGGTTGAAAAAGAAGCCTGTTCTAAGAAAGAAGGAAGAGTTGAGCTACAGTTTAATCTAGATGGCAATGCCAATATGTTGTTGAGCATTTTCTGCTGTGGTTCACTTGGCTCCAAGGGCAGACAGCACAAGGAAGCACTTGCATAAAAAAAGATGAAACTGATCTCCCTAGACTGAAAGAAGGTGCCCAAGTCCACAGGGGCCCAGGAGCTGGCAGTGGGTGGTCTGGCAGAGTTTTGACACACTATTATGGGATAAGATTGTGGGTAACTGGAGAATCCCTTTTTGGCATATAAAAGATGTAATTATCTGGTAGTTCCTCGAAATTCTTCAGCTAGACTTCTATTTATTCAGCCAGTGATGGCAAATTACCTCAGCTTCTATACCAGGACAACACATCAGTAATGGCTGCGGGAAGTCTAAAATGAGAAAAGTTCTGAGGTCATATTTGGATTTATCCAGAAAGTGCAGTCATAAGTTAGCCTGTCAGCTGTGAGTTTTGGAATCAAGATTGGTATCACACCACATATTGAATATCTTTTCTTTCAGGCTTTTTTTTGGGTCTTGTCAAAATCTAGGTAATTATATCTAAAAATCCATTTAATTTTCACTTAAGCTCATAAGTAAGTACTGTTATAATCTTTTTTTGGGGGAGGGGGAGGAAAAAACTAAAGGTATAGCCATATTGTTTCCAAAAGTATATTGTCAATTACTGGTGGAATTTATATTTGAACACACACCTTCCTAACTCCAGAGCCCAAGCTTTTTACAACTATATAACCTTCCCCATGAATTTTAGAGTACTGATATTTAATGCTGTCATCACTCATTTATGCCCTAGAGTGAATGAGCTCCTTTCTATCATTACCTAAGATAGAAAAATATGAAAGATTAATAAGTTTGGAAGGGATGAAGACAAATTAGTTACTTTACAGCACTGTTTAAAACTGATTCTTAGTCTAAATACTGGAAACATGACTTAGTATATATCTACTCTAGTCGGGGAAATATGAATTAATTCTGGATCTTTTAAGTATATCTATACCATTTATATTTGAGATCCAACCCAAGTAAAAGTACTATTTTCAGATGTGATTTTTTATCCTTTGAAATGTTTTATTTAAAAAATTTAAAAATTTTTATTTTATTTTATTTTTTATTTTAAAAGTGTTAGTCACTGTGTCATGATGAGTTTCTAAATGCAGGTAATTGTATTTTGTTTTCCTTAAACACTTAAAGGATGTTCTTTTAATGGAGTGGTCTCTCTATTTATGGAAACATATTACTTCCCCCAAGTATTTCTTTCTGTAATTAACTGTTAAAATCATTTGTAAATATGCCAATTAAACCATTCATATAAAACAGTTTGGAGTTTGCCCAAAGGCAGGGGAAAATACAAAACCAAAATATCTCCAAGTATTTTTTGTTGGTGTTAGAAATGTTAGTGTTTGTTTGATTTCTTGAATTGTTCTTTTTCTTTTACAGAAAAATCTATCATTGCTCAACCAATATTTGTCTTTGAAAAGAGAGAACAAACTTTTAAGGTAAGGTCAAGTTACTTTTCTTTGTTTGATTTTTACTTTGACAAAGAAGACAGTATTTTGAGAAGTTAGCTGTACTAAATGATATCACTGCTGCATAAATTTATTCTTTTGCACATAGCAAGAGTTGGAACTCAGAATATTTACATAGTAGGGATTTACTGATAGCAATTTGGCTGAAATGGGAAGCCAGAGACCTTACCCCGAAACTATGGATAACATAATTTTTGCCAAAATTATCTGTTTTTTTTTTTTTGGAGTGACTGGGAAGGGGGAGGGACTGAAAGAGATTAGATGAGTTAAGGCTCATCACGGGTTCTGACCACTGACCTAGCTTAAAATGGATATAAAATAAGCTCTAAACTGCAATATATGATTCAAAAGAAATCTTAAGGACTCCATTTGCTTTTTTCAGCCTCATACTAAAATCACTTACTTTGAAAGACATGATAGTATTAGTAGCATTTTAACCTCAGCTTAACTAGTATTTTGTTGTTACTCATTATTGCTTATGGAGACAATTTACCCTACTACCCCCAAAACTAAAGAAAAACCCAACCCCTAGTGAGCTCCTTTTCCTAGCCTAGCTGAAAAGACCTGGCTTTTGACAACTCTCTTAGGAAGCGACAGGGTGGAAATGTTATTTGAAAATGGCAAACACTCAGCTCTCATTGGCAGCTTTGCTTCCTTCCAGAGACCTGCAGAAGACATCCTGTACGAAGCAGCAGAATGTGGTAATGATTTGTATCTTATATTTCAAAAGCAATCTTTTTATCAAGAAACAAGTAGGGAAAAACATTTTGACATGTGGCACAGACTATATAAAATCGAATCATTTTTTCTTGTTTTTAAACACACAGATAGACTGGCTTTTGTTTTGAAAGATGACATACAGGGCCCTGAGAATATTATGTTAGCAATACTAAAAGCCTATGACTCTCCACTGTTTGTCCTCCAACCTTCCAAAAACATTCTCTATACAGTTTCAGAATTTGTATATTATTTTTTGTCAAAGCCACTTGTTTCTAACTGTTTCACAGTACGATGATATGCCTGTCAGTTTATAATGACCAAGCTATTAACCCCAATATTTAAAACTGAGTTTTGGGAATTAACATGTTGTCAAACAATGATATATCTAGAGAAAAGGAAATTATATTTCTCCTCTAATATCATGGATTGAAACTAATTTGTTATTGCAATCAATTTTACCCTCCACATTGAATTTCTTACAGAATGCAATGAGTTTTCAAGAAAGCGTTTCCGGGCTTCATCTTTTACTTGGCATACTACAGATTCTCAGAACCAAGGAGGTAGGTATAGCCTGGGCTGTTGAGTGTTCACTGCTGTGTGTACTCTGAGTGTGATACTACTAGGAAATTTTCAGACAGGCAATGTTTAAAAATATACCCATTGGATGGTGTTTCTAATATATTGTTATGTGAAAACAGCAGTCTAAAGAATACAGTGAGTTATTTAAAATTCAACTTAGCAACATCGGAAAAAAAGACCGAAAGGACATAAGCCACGATGTTAATGGTTATCTTAGATAAAATGGGACTACAAGTTATTTGAACACCCACCTCCCTTTGTATTTTGCTGTGTTCCTAAAGTTTCTGCATTACAGAAACTAGCTACAGAATTAACTTTACAATTAGGGCAAACTGCGATTTCCTTCTAAGGAAGCCTGGAAAATCCCATGGACGGAGGAGCCTGGTAGGCTGCAGTCCATGGGGTCGCTAAGAGTCAGACACAACTGAACGACTTCACTTTCACTTTTCACTTTCATGCATTGGAGAAGGAAATGGCAACCCACCCCAGTGTTCCTGCCTGGAGAATCCCAGGGACGGGGGAGCCTGGTGGGCTGCCGTCTATGGGGTTGCACAGAGTCGGACACGACTGAAGCGACTTAGCAGCAGCAGCAGCAGCAGCAGCAAACATCTCCTTAAACAGATGTCTGCCTTTTAAAAAGACACTTTTTTTTCCTAAGAGCTTTATCATATGCTGTGTTTTGAATAAATCAGTAACTTGGTTAGCCTCTCTTCTACACTCCAAGCATTCTGGTGACTCCGATTATGATGCATCACAGGCCCTCTTCTTGCTATGCAACTGTTTAAATGCATGTCTGTCTCCTCCACTGAGAGCTCCTTGAGGTCATCTTCCTGCCTGACAGAGGGTCTCATACATGATGAGCATGCAAATATTTACGGAATTGATATCATCCTCACCAGAGGCACACTATTTTTAATCAATAAAAATACAAAGTTTTTTCTAAACTGATGATAAAGAAAGTTTTCCAAAACAACAAAAATCCAAATGAAAAGATAAACAAAACCCTATTGACTTCAGCTTGCAATCTGTTTTTAGCATCACCCTTGTCCCAGAAGTGACTAACACTGTCATCCTTCCTGGACCTCCCAACCTTCCCTCCTTCTGGGCCAGATAATAAAGAACTTCTTAGAACCTCAAGTCTGACACTCTGACTTTTCAAGATCCATTCTCATTCACGATAAGCTTTCTTTTTCAGCTACTGCAAAACATTGACATTTTAGTGGCAAATAAACTAGGGGTCTTAGCAAAGTATGCATGGATGAATACCTTCTGAATTCTAGCCCCACAAATCCACACAGTATGTGTTTATTTTTGGTAGAAAATTTAAACTTGATAATGTTCTTTAGGGTTTCATGTTTATGGTAACATTCTCTTATATAATGCAGCCCTATAAAATAACCTGCTTTATTTTTCTTATTATTTATTGTCCATTTAAATGGTTTATAATATTTGTAGTACTCAAAATATATAGTGATGCTTAGATTCTCATTCTAAATTTTATGCTTTAAATTTATATTCTAAAGTTTAGGATATCATTCCTTTTGAATTTTTCACTAATTAAAATATTACTTCTTTTTATTTAAATTATAATGCTTTGCTAAGTAAAACTATTTTATCATAACAAAATATTTGAAATGATTGAGACATGCTCTATGTCAGGATTATGATTTTTTTTTGGTCTTTTTTTTGAAAGTGTGCAGTTCAGAAGCATTAAGTATATTCACATTGTTGTAAAACCTATTTAATCTTTATATTTAAAAAAAAAAACCACCCTTAGTAACAGATTCATATAGCACCTGAAGGTATCAAATGAAAAATTAAAGTCTCATTGTCATTAGTTCCAAAAGAAATAAGACTTGAAGTCTTTCATATTTTTGTTTTTACTGAACAGCAAACTGCTTTTTCCAAGTTAAGCTTTCCCACAAGAAATAGAAAATACAAACTATTCACTTTCTTTTAAGGGATTCTACCCAGGAATCACATGAAGCTAATGAATTTGTATTCTTATTAACAATGCCAAGTGTGACTGTGCATCAATATGTCAGACACCTTTCAGATACAGAAGAGATAGGTCCTAGTTCAATAAGCCCCATCTATACCTGCCTGACAAGTTATAGACATTAAGAGGAATAGGGGTTCTAATACCAGAGGATTTGTTTTGGTGCTATTTGTGCATAAAGCAAAGAGATGACTTTAAATTATCTGGATAATCACTTCAATTCATTTTCTAAAAATCAGACACACACATGAAAAGGATGAATAAAATATTACCAAGCACCATCACATTCTATGTTGTGCAGAATGTTGGTGGTGTTGGAAGGAGACAAATAGTACAATTAAATGGTTCATTCAATGTTATTTTTCAATTATAAAGATCATGCACGTGTGTGTGTGTGTGTGCTCAGTCACACAGTTATGTCTGATTCTTTGTGACCCCATGGACTGTAGCCCCCCAGGCTCCTCTGTTCATTGGGATTTTTCAGGGAAGAATGCTGGACTGGGTTGCCATTTCCTTCTCCAGGGGATCTTTCTGACCCAGGGATTAAACTCACATCTCCTGGGTCTCCTGCACTGGTAGGCGGAGTCTTTACTACTGAGCCACCTGGGAAGAAATAAAGATCATAAAAACCAGGTAACTGAACTTTGAATTAGAGAAGCAATTGTACCCCAACGTATATAACATCATAACACTTCAAAAAAGCAATTCTTATTCTTTTCTCATCTCCATTAATCCAATTCTCAAAGGCTGCTATCTTTGCAATTTGCCACCAAGAGGTAATCTCTTTGAGATTTGTAGTACAGGCATACCTCGTTTTATTGAGCTTCACAGATATTACATTTTTTACAGATTGAAAGTTTGTGGCAACCGCACCTCAAGCAAGCCTATGGGCTTCATTTTCTAAAAGCTTCTGCTCACCTTGTGTCTCTGTGTCACATTTTGGTACTTCTTGCAGTATTCCAAAATTTTCAGTATTATTATACTTTTTATGGTGATCTGTGATCAGTGATCTTAGATGTTACTACTGTAATAGTAATTGGGGGGGGCACTTTAAACTGTTCTTATGTAAGATGGCAAATTTAATAAATGTGTGTGTTCTGACTGCTCTACCAGCTAGTCCCTTCCCCCATCTCTCTCACTGTCTTCAGGCCTCCCTATTCTATGAGATAAAACAATATTGAAATTAGGCCAATCAATAGCCTTACAGTGGCCTCTAAGTATTCAAGTGAAAAAAGAGTTGCATGTCTCTCACTTTAAATCAAAAGTTAGAAATGATTAAGTTTAGTGAGGGAAGAATGTCTAAAGCCAAGATAGGTCAAAAGCTAGGGCTCCTGCACTGAATGGTTTGCAAACGTGTAAATGCAAAGGAAAACTCCCCAAAGGAAATTGAAAATGCTTCTCCACTGAACACATAAATGATAAGAAGGTGAAACAGACTTATTGCTGATATGAAGGAAGATCGAGTGGTCTGGATAGAAGATCAAACCAGCCACAATATTTCCTCAAGCCAAAGCCTAATCCAAAGCAAGGCCTTGACTCTTCTCAGTTCTGTATAGGCTGAGAGAGCTGAGGAAGCTGCAGAAGAAAAGTCTGAAGCTAGCAGAGGCTGGTTCATGTGGTTTAAGGAAAGAAGCTGTCTCTATGACATCATAGTACAAGGTGAAGCAGCAAGTGCTGATGTAGAAGCTGTAGCAAGTTATCCAGATGATCTAGCTAAGATCACTAAAGAAGGTGGCTAAGCTAAACCACAGATTTTCAATGTAGATGAGACAACCTTATACTGGAAGTAGATGCCATCTAGCACTTTCATAGCTAGAGAGAAGTCAACGCCTGACTTCAAAGTTTCAAAGGATAGGCTGACTCTCTTATTAGGGACTAATGCAGCTGGAGACTTTGAATAGAAGCCAATGCTTATTTACCATTCTGAAAAGTTAGGGCCACCAAGAATTATGATAAATCTACTCTGTGTGCTCTATAAATGGAACTACAAAGCCTGGATGTTAGCACATCTGTTTACAACATGATTTGATGAGTACTTTAAGCCCACCATTGCAACCCACTGCTCAGAAAAAGATTCCTTTCAAAATATTACTGTTCATTGACAATGTATCTGGTCACCCAAGAGTTCTGATGGAGATGTACAGTGAGATTAATGTTGTTTTCATGCCTGCTAACACAACATTTGACCTTCACAGGCAGCTCAGTGGTCAGTAAAGAATCTGCCTGCCAATACAAGAGACATAGGAGATGTGAGTTCAGTCCCTGGATTGGGAAGATCTCCTGGAGGAGGAAATGGCAACCCACTCCAGTATTCTTGCCTGGGAAATCCCATGGACAGAGGAACCTGGCAGGCTACAGTCCATGAGGTCCCTAAGAGTGGACATGTCTGATCAACTGAGCATAGACAGAGACAGAACACAGCATTTATTCTGCAGCCCATGGATCAAGGATTCATTTTGACTTTCAAGTCTAACTATCTGACATGTACATTTTGTAAGCTTTTTGCTGCCATAGACAGTGATTCCTCTGATGGACCTGGACAAAGGCACTTGAAAACCTGGAAAGCATTCACCATTCTTGGCACCATTAAGAACATTTATGATTCAAGGAAAGAGATCAAAATATCAACATTAACAGGAGTTTGAAAGAAGTTGATTACAGTCCTTACAGATGACTTTGAGGTGTTCAGGACTTCAGGGGAGGAAGTAACCGCAGATGTGGTGGAAATAGAAAGAGGACTAAATTAGAAGGGGAGCCTGAATGTGTGACTGAATTGCTGCTATCTCAGGATGAAACCTGAGAGATGAGGAGTTGCTTCTTATGGACGAGTAAAGAAAGTTTTACCTGAGACAGAATCTACTCCTGGTGAAGGTGCTGCAAAGACTGTTGAAATGACAACAAGGGACATAAACGTAATATTCATAAAGCAGGAGGGCTTGAGAGGATTGACTCTAATTTTGAAAGAAGTTCTGTGACTAAAAGGTAATCAACCAGCACTGCATGCTACAGTGAAATCATTCATGAAAGGAAAAGTGAATTGATGAAAACGTCATTGTTATTTTAAGAAGCTGCCACAGCCACCCCAGCCTTCAGCAATCACCACTCGGATCAATTAGCAGCCACTGACATCAAAGCAAGACTCTCCACCAGCAGAAACATTATGACTTGCTGAAGGTTCAGATGATGCTTAGCATTTTTTCAGGGATAAAGCATTTTAAATGTAGGTATATTGCTTTTCATAGCAATAAAGTATTTTAAATTAAATTACATATATTGCTGTTGCACACTTAGTAGACTACGGTATAGTGTAAATGTAACTTTTATATGCACTGGGAAACCAATGAAGTGAGTGTGTGACTCAATTTATTGTGCCACTCACTTTATTAAAGTGGTCTGGAACACAATCAGCAACATCTCTTTGGTATGCCTATAATTCTATTCTTGCAGCCAAGACCACAGTCCTAACCCATCAGTTCGCATTGATAACCTAGCATAATGGTCATCTTTACTTCTCTCTTCAGGTATCATTAAAGAGTGGGGAAGGGACAGAATTTATTAACAGTTTTATAACATTCTGTAAGAAATATATATTAATGCACATAGATGGTTCACTATCAATTAGGATTTTATCATCTGTAGAATTTCTCTCAGTACTCGATTTCATGATTCTGAAGAAGACTGTCTATTTCATTAGTGACTTAATTTTCACTTATTTTCTGAGAGTAAAAAGACTGCAGCAAAGCTCATCTTGCTTTTACACTTTTTAGTAGAATTCAGCGCGGGCATGATTAGTGCCAACAGCGACATCTACTGGTGAGTTCAGTACAAGACTGTGAAAACAAATTTGCTCACAGGTTTAAAATTTTCTAAATATTTTTTACAGTGAAGAAAAACAATGTTTTTATGACATCAAACTCTGTGCAAAGGAATGCTGATCTGAACAGTACAGAACAAGGTATGTAGCTTCCTTTATTACATGAAACTTGAAATGTCAATTTCAAGGTTGAGTGACAAAACATGAAGGAATATATTTAGTAAGCAAAGTCCCATGATCAAATTGAAAGTGAACTAAAAGTTACTCTGTCGTGTTTGACTCTTTGCAACCATATGGACTGTAGTCCATGGAATTCTCCGGGCCAGAATACTGGAGTGGGTAACCTTTCCCTTCTCCAGGGGATCTTCCCAACCCAGGGATTGAACCCAGGTCTATTGGGTAAAAGTTAGTCAGGAAGACAGAACCAGGCAACTCACTGGCTATTTTGACTATTTTGATTGGCTATTAGTTGACATTATGGAGAAGGAAACGGCAACCCACTCCAGTATTCTTACCTAGAGAATCCCGTGGACAGAGGAGCCTGGTGGACTGCAGTCCATACGGTCGCACAGAGTCGGACACGGCTGAAGTGACTTAGCATGCATGCGTGCATTGGAGAAGGAAATGGCAACCCACTCCAGTATTCTTGCCTGGAGAATCCCAGGGACAGAGGAGCCTGGTGGGCTGCCGTTTATGGGGTCGCACAGAGTTGGACATGACTGAAGCGACTTAGCAGCAGCAGCGGCAGTTGACATTAACCCTTCATTTAATCATGACTTTAGAAAGTAAGCATTAAATTAGTAAGAAATTGAAAGAAAAATTATTTCACTAAAGATACATTGACCCTTTAATTCTGTTCTTTTAAGGTCCTGTGAAACATTCTGAGCTTGTTCTAAGACCTGCTATTTTGCAGCCTCCTCAAGCTCAAGGGTACATAAAAGTGAGAAAATCATTTGGACACAATGTGTTGGAATCCTGTAAGGTTAAAGAAAAAAACAAAAGTAAGGTAAGAAAACCTCCTACGGTAGGAGTGATCTCAATTTCCCATCCTTCTTTTGATAGATTGTTGTGGGTCCCCACATCCAGAATTAGGGGCTACTTGATGCTGAAGCAGCTACCAGGCTGGAAGAAAAGCTGGACAAGATAGCCAAGAGCCCTCAGTGACTGTACTAAACTTGTCCTCCTAAATTGGAGGGTTGTTCCCAGGAGCAAGTCTTGTGGTCTCTCCTAAGCTGTAAAGCTGAGTTCTGTGTGGTGGGGCCACTTGGGGTCTTGATCTGGGGCACTGACCCCACATGAGAATAGGGGAGCAGTGAGGTGGCAGGAGCCAGAAGTCAGAAATCAGAAAACGGAAATGGATTTTTGGTTTGTATCCCCAACTGGTAGACATGCTGGTGTGGCTTTGCCAGTTTAGATCACACCGTGGATCCGCTCCAGCCCATCTTCACAGAAAACAGGAGCAAGGAACTATCTCCACAGTGTCGCTGGGAGGGCTTGGGAAGCTCCTGGAGACAGAAACCAACTTCTCTTCCAACTGAATCGCTCCTCGTGGGCCTTTCCAAGGAGATACTCACTTTACTAACATCATACAGATAAGGGTTGGGGATATTCTGTTGCTATAGTTCTGTGTCTTCCAGAAGCAGATCCTTGAGAGGAGGGGGATGCCAGCTCGACAGGTTGGAATTTGAGTTATTCCACCAGTCAGTTGTTTCCAGCTAAACTGTTGAGGGTTGATCAAGTTTGGTTTTGTTTTCCCAGACTGAACATGAGAACAGTGACACCTGGAAGTGTTAAAATACCAATCATTTAGTCAAGTCACTGAAAAAAATCAGATCAGTACTAATTCTACCTCTACCACTATCTACTGTGTTTACATTCTTAGACAAAGTCCCAACCTTCTGTTTTTCATCAGTGAAGTGAGGGAGTTGAATCTGGTCGGCATTTGCCAACATTTTTATATTTCCAATGTTTTTTCTTTGTAAGCTATGATTTTATGAGACTCATTGTGAATTTTAAAAATCATTTCATCATTTATGTGATATATGTGATTTTAAGTTAAAATATTAAAAAATTTTAAATCAGTATATTATTAAATATTTTCATTTAAATATAATAATCATATTATATAAATTATTTACCTATTTTAAAAGTGATGCATGTTGTTTAATTTGTTTTAAAGTGTATAAGAAAACCTATGATGTGTTGACTAATTTCTGAAATGTTATATTGCATTTGATTTTGGAATAGCATGTTCTATAAATTATAGATGAAATTTTTTACTTACACATTATATCAAAAGCTGATTAATATTTATTCCTTGGCATGATTTTTTAAGGTCTTGCATGGCATGATTTTAAAATAAAATTTATTAATATATTTCCTGTATTTTCTTCCTCAATAATAAAACATTAGAGAAATTTCTAGACTATCATTTGCAAAAATTTCTTCTCAAATAACTTATTAAGGGCATGAATAGAATTTATTCCTAATTGGTGAGAAGTCTAATTGGATATGCCCATCACTGAATTTTCTCTGTTTAATGATGATTTTTGAAGATCTAAAGGTAAGCTATGTATAAGACACTATGTCAGAATTCTGACACAATGATATAATGTATAGATACAGTGAAAATGATCTCCAGGTAAATTTTATAGAATCCTTATTTTTATGTTCCTTTTAAAGTTGTATTTCAAAATTAGAGCAATTTTCTTTCATTCTGTCATTAATCAGTGGTTAGTTGTTGTATATAACAAATAATATATTCCTAAAAAACTATTCCAAGCAAACTAAAGAGTTTAAAACTACCATTTTGGTTGAGAGATAAATCATCTGAGTGACTGAGTCATAAGCATATACTTCATTCTTTGCTAACCGATGACACATACTCTCTTGACACATATTTCTCAGCTCTCAAAGTCTGTTATATATGGAAAACTACTCAAAATTATTTTTGATTGATATAAAATTAAAGTGGAAACAACCCTATTTAAAGACAAGACGTCCTTGCAACATCTTTGAAAATTCCTAGTGGAGGAAGGGATGCGTCCACAGACACTGAGGACACCAGATCAGATAACTGGGTTCCTTCCAGTTCTAAAACTGCACACTCCTTCATTTACGCTTTAATGCAGATAAGGTGCATTTGTATATACACAGCAGATGGAATAACTGATTAAATTACCAAAAGTTTCTAGAGGAAGAGAAGGAATTTCCTCTCACTTTGGGTGGCAATGATGGTGAAGCTCTTAGAGGTTTCCATGGGCTAAATAGTCCTGAAATACATATTTACTAGTCTAGAAATGAGATTTAAGCCCACTGCCTAAAATAGTAAAAGTAACAAAAGAAGGTGGGATTTCTGAATGTTAGTGGTTTTAGGCAGACCCATGCTCCAATGTCAGCCCCCATCTGATTGCCCAGTTCCGGCCATTATCTAAGATTATTAGGTCAGTCTGCTCACCTGAAGTGTGGATAAGAGAAGTACAAAGTATAGAGAGTTGTTTTGAGGAGTATATGAGATAGTGTATAGAAGATGTTTAGGACTGTACTTGAACATAGTAAGTTTTCTATTCATTTAACTATAGCTATTGTTTCCTTGTCTAATGCTTTTATATATAGTAAGGCAGTTTAAATGAACTTTTTGATGGACTTTTTTTCTTTCAGATTTATGAGGGGAACTCCTGTTTGCTAAGTGAAAACTTACCAAGTGCCAGAATTTCAATCCAGCTGTCTACTAACCAGAATGCTTTAGGTACTACATCACTACGGTAAGTTAACGATGAGGGAATAGAAATGTTCTTTCATTTTCTTTCTTTTGTCAATAAATTATTTATGGAAAATAATTTTCTGACATTGTACAGACAAACTGCTAAGATTTCTGCTTGAAAGGAGATTTTATAAAATACAAGTTTAAAATGCTTTTAAAAATGTCTCTAATATTTATATATTATCATCCTGGTATTGGATTGTCCCTACTGTCTCATTGACTTGGGTAAGAATGTCTCAATTAGGTAGAGCTAAACTTTTTATTTAGTTAGGCATTAAATATCTGGATACTCAATTAGCCTTTCCTCCTCGTCCCCTGGTATTCTCTTTCCCCTCTTTTAAATTATTTCTGGCATTATTAGGTATTAACATAAATCAGACAGACAACAAAGAAAGCAGTAGAAATATGCAAAGTGAAAATGAATATTTAATAGCATTGCCAGTGATGGGGGCATGTTTGATCGGAGAGAGGAATACAACTAGCTGTGGACATACTGGTCTCATGATTGGAGCCCATGCAGGTACCTCAGCACTTAACTACGGTGCATGCTGTGGATGCAGTAGGGATCCTGAAGCATGTCTGCCAACAGACAGAGGGCTGCATGTCTTTGAGTTTGTCGTTATGCAAAACACTTTAAACATTCAAGTTTCTGGGAGGTAAAAATCAAACTAAATCACTGCACACTCAAGTGTAACTGAGAAGCGAGATCGGCTTTGCTGTTACCCTTAAACCTTGCATCACTAAAAGCACTGGCTAGTTGGGGAAGAGGAGAGTGGAGACTGGAGACCAGAGAGTCAGTGCTGGAAAAGCACAAAGATGAGGACTGGGCAGCTCCCCGGTTGATCACACGGCCTCTCTTCACTGGTCTTGGCCAGTGTTGTAACAGCTGTCGGATATTTTGACTTTGATCATCAGAAGTACCTATCTCATTTTTTCCTTCATTTCTCTTTAACTTCAGATAAACAAAAGCTAGCAGATGTTTTTATGCTTTACATAAATCTATTAAATCATCTGATTATTTCACTAAGGTTTACTATGGCTATATCCATTGCTACTACATTTGAAATAGCAAATGCTTATTTCTTTTCCATAGATGTCAACCAAATGAAGATAAATATTCTATGAAAAGCTGCAGTTCTGATTTTGTTTTTGGAGAAAACATGGTAGAAAGAGTTTTGGTAAGATTTTGGCAAATGTTTCTGTTACTGTATAGAGAGCTGTAACTTCTAATTTCTAAAGGCAAATTAATTAAAACAATGTTAAACTGGAGCATACTTTTTAACTACTGAGTTCAAAGGCACATTTTCCTATCTTTAACTGGAAAGATTCTCCTGGGAAGCAAGTTCTAGTTGTTAGAATAATAGACAAGAACCCACAGAGGAAGAGAATTGTCTAATTATAACATTATTACTGATAAGAAATATTAAATACTTCTTTGATTTGCATTAAATCAAAGGTACCCAAGGAAATCCTAGAATTATCTGCAATAGTTAAGTAAGCTCAACTGGTCATGATATTTTAATATAGTTTTTCAATAGCATTTCCATAACAAGATGAATTTAAAATTATTTGCATTTTTTTTCTCATTAATCACAACCTTCCCCTTCAAGTTTTTACACTGACAGATTTTTTTCTTGCTAGCTGTAGGAGGGAATCGTAGTATTTTACTTGCCTATGGGAATATATTTGCCAAGTGGAACCGCCTGACTATTATTACCACCTTCCTTAAGTATGCTCCTACATGGGGCATCCCATGTGGTAAAGAATCCACCTGCCAATGCAGGAGACATGAGTTTGATCCCTGGGACAGGAAGATCCCCTGGAGGAGGAAATGGCAACCTACTGCAGTATTCTTGCCTGGAAATCTCCAAGGACAGAGGAGCCTGGCAGGGTACAGTACATGGGGTCAGCAGAGTCAGACACAACTGAGCAACTAAGCAACAATCCTCCTGTGTGAGGCAGTTGCTGCTTTGTCCTCCACAGGGTATGTTTCTAAAACAGAGCATGATCCACAGTGGGGAATTATATAGCCTAATGGAAGCTGTGGAGCAAATATGCCCATGGTTTTATTTGGCCCAACACATCTTAATACTCTTTGCACTTTCATCCAGACCAGAATCTTAGCTGAAATAAGACAAGGATGCTATCTTGTCTTAGGGCTATTAGCTACATGAAGAATCCCATGGAGAATACACAGATTTTAAAACCTGTGCTATGACTCAGAATAACAAAAGGACCAACTCATGAGGTCTGTTTATTCCAAGATTTTAATCAAACCAGTCACTTTTAAGATCTTGCTTATTCTACACCTGCCTCAGGCTCAACCCCAATTCCAAGAGAATCATCACAGCTCTTCAGCTTAGCAGTGCCTTTCGATCACTCCAAAGATGAAGGTTGGCTCCAGCAATCCTAGAGCTGTTGACCCTCATCTTTGGATTTGAACCAGAATGGACCAACTTCCAAAGTGAAGTTGCAGGCAGTATATTTAAGCACATTTATTCTAGATTAGTCATAGCTTCTGTAAGATATCACAGACACAAATACAACACTCTTCAGACCTCATGGGATCAACTTTAACATTTGACTCACTTAACACATGGTTAACACACCGTCTGTGTTTTTATGATACATAAAGCATTGGCACTGGTCTCAAGTTTGGTGGCATATTACAATCATCTGGTGAGCATTCAGAGGACTTTTTATGCCTGGTCACCTCCCAAAACTTGTTAGATCAGGATCTCTGTGGGTGAGGTCAGATGTCAGGTGATTTGAGCGTACAGCCAGGATTGAAAACCACCTGGTTACACAAAGCTAAGGAAGACCTTGTCCTCTGGAGTTGTCTATTGTCTAAAACAGAGAGAGAGAGATACCAGTACAAATGAACGACAATGGGGATTATGGATTTGGCATGAGGAGGTAGGTGCCTATGTGCGTTTCCTATGAGCACTTCAAGGCTGACTTACAAAGGAACCTGAGCTTCCTGTCTTCTTAAGTGGATAACATTCTAGGATGGCAGGAGCTGTACGAGATCACATGTGTTTGTCCTTTAGTTAATCCTGTAATCCTGTGGCCCTATGATTTGAAGGCCACGATGCCTCCTGATTTGTTTGCTGGTTATGTGCTTTTAGAGAGAGTCGTTAGACTTTCTGTGCTTTAGTTTCTGTTTTCTTAAAATGGAAATAATTATACCCATCTCTACCAATTTTAACAGATTATCTTGAGACCCAGTTAAATAAAATGAAAGAATCTTGAATTCATAAGGGAAAAGATTTAAAACTAAGCTCTGAAGTATCCTCCAACTCTCCCTGTTCTGCAGGGAGCTATCTAAGCACCATGTGGGAGGTTGTAAATGTCCTGGCAATTACTTGGTCTTTTTTTCACACAGGTGTCGATTACAACACATGTGCAAAAGCCCAGGTGTGCAGCCTTAAAAGTGTTTGCTGTGTCAGAGGAAAAGTTGGGATTCATTCTGTAATGATGATCTGAGGAGACAGCCAGTGGGGTCTTTGGACAACTTTTTAACTTTTTACATTAAATGGATAGAAAGAATGGACGGTTGGGAATACTGAAATAATTTGAAAAAGTGACACTGGTTGCACTTCCTTCAAGGCACCAGGTAGTTTGAAGTGGTAGTTTGGAATAGCTGCTACCTCCTTGTGGGTCTCTAAAAGGTTTCCCGTTGTCCCTGGAACTAGATGCCCCCTGAAGTAGGCTGGTGGTAACTAGATTGTTTCCTTAGATCAGAACCAAGATTTTCTAACAATGGGGAGGAGTTCCCGTTCAGCACAAGAGGATCCTAAAACAAAAACAGAGCTGTTGGGTTTGTTTGCCATGTTGAGACAGAAGAACAAAAGTATCTCTTGGGTTACTGCAAATATATGGAGATAAAATTAAGCAATACATCTTTTTCTTCCACCCAGGGCACTCAAAAACTCACTCAGCCTCAACTCGAAAGTGATTTATACATCAAGGAAAAACCATTCAAATTCACTGTAAAAATTCCTATCAACTCTCCAAACTCAAGTAAGAATTATTTCATTTGTAAAACATCTGATTCAACTAGTATATTTCCTGTTTTTCCATGTCATTTGTTTAATATCTGTAAAATACAAAAAAACAAAATCCATTGTTTAGAATCTTTGGTGAAGATTAAAGCATATAAATTTGGTTACATGATATAAAAGCCTTAATAACTTTTGGACTTCATGATAGGGGGATCATTAAAGAGATATACCTAAACACAAGCAGTTTGATTTTTTGGAAACACTCATTGTTATAAAAAGCTAAGGAGACATGCATGTTAACAGGGGCAAAAAAGAACTTTCACAGTGGATAAAATGGGGCATTTTATGTGTTCTTTCCCTCTATTTTCTCTTAGGAACAGACACTATTGAAAATATATCCCTAATTGAATCAGCTACTGCTTTCTCTTTTAAACCATCACCAAAATGTTTGCTGGAGAAAATTGATGTTATAACTGGGGAGGAGGCAGAACACAATGTGTTAGAGGTCTGTATATTGTGTATTGCTCTTTCTGGAATAAAGTTACCCTCAGCAGAGACATCTTTAAAGAAAAAGGCAGAAGTATAGTTTTCATAAAGACCTGGCTATTTAAATTAAAATGTTTGAGGCTTTCAAATATTAAACCAACATTTTGTTGTATTCTTACATTTGTATGTGTAACTTGCAGGAAAATGGATTACTGGCTTTACATTCATACTAGTCCCTCAGAAAGAAGACAGCCAAGGACCCAGTCTTAAAGTAACTGCAGACCTATATTTTATACTTTTCATGTCAGCTTGATTATCAGTTATTATCATATGGTTTAAAATTCTATTTACACTGAAAGTTAAAAATGCAGAGAGATAAACTGATTTCAGTTCAAGATAATAAAAATTTTCTTTTTCCTTTAAAAGCTCTTTTTTTAAATTGAAGTAAAGTTGGTTTACAATGTTGAGCTAATTTCTGCTGTATAGAAAAGTGACTCATACATATATACACTTTCTTTTTTACATTCTTTTCTATTATAGTTTATCTCAGGATATTGACTACAGTTCTCTGTGCTATATAGTAGGACCTTGTTGTTAATCCTAAAAGTTCTTTTAAGTAAGTTTTGAATTGCACATGAATCAAGAATTTCAAAGATGTGGTATATAGTATCACAAATAGGATTTGAACAATGAGTGGTGTAGCTATCAGTCCTGGCATATGAAATGTAATTACTATACCTCAATCATGTTCAACAAAGCGCAGATTTCCCTTAGGCTTTCTCCATCTGCTTTACCCCAAACTCTCTTCATTCCTGTTTTCTTCTCCCTTGATCTACTGATATATTTACTGTACAAGTGTGTCTCACAGCATAACTCTCAGATCAGATTAATCCCAGATTCACTGAAGTAGTCACTTGAGGTGAGGCCCTGACATGCTATATTATTAGCAAGTCATCTAGGGGATTCTTGTATGCAATAGTATTTGAGAGCCACTGGTAAGCATTAAATTATAGTATGGTACTCTGTGGTATCACATCCAAGTTCTGATGTTATATTTATTAAAATTTTTAAAGCACACAAATAGTTCCATGATTCCTTAATTTTCAGATAAATTACCTGATTCAAATAACACTTTAAAAGTTGGTATACATAGATAAATCGTTAAGTGAAAAAGCAAGATGCAGATGTATGTATTCTACCAGTTATAGAAAAAAAACAGGAAAATATATACATATTGACATGTATATACATACAAATATCTCTAGAAGGATAAACAAAATATTTAGCAACAGTGATCAACTGTTGTAGGGGATGAAAGTTGGTAGATGGGAACTAGTATTGGTGGAGCTACTTTTCACTTTGTACGTCTTTTTGCTTTTTAATGTTTGAACTATTCAAAAATTGTATTGTTTTAGAAACTAAATAAAATTTTAAAGCTGGTTTAGAAATCATTAACAAAGGCTATTCTGATAAGATATCAGACAAAAGTGTTATAGCATAGGAAAGAAATCACTTTGAAAAATGTTTCATATTTTGACATTAAAAAAAATTTTTTTCCTTTAGATCAACTGCAAGCTTTTTATATTCAACAAAACAACACAATCCTGGACTGAAAGGGGCAGAGGAGCTTTGAGACTGAATGACACAGCAAGCAGTGATTGTGGAACGTTCCAGTCAAGATTAAGTAAGGAATCATTTTGTAAAGCAAGTCGCTATTTTTCAGGGAAGATTTTCCAATATAGTTACACATCATTTTCTGGAGGTGTGTTATGTGTCAATAGATTAGACTGCTGAACACAATATTATTTTTAAGGTACTATAGGAGCTTCCTGTTTAAAGTAGGCTCTGATGTCAGACCACACAGGTTCCAAGTCTGGCTCCATCACTAACTAGTGACCTTGGATAAATTACTTAATCTCCTTCTACTCTAGTTGCATCAGTTAAAAATGCAGATAACAGAAGTCCATGAATTAGTGAGTGAGTGTGAGAATTCAGTGAGAAAATGCACATAAAGCACCTTTGACTAGCCCAACACACACCTAAATAGTGATCTTATTATTATTTAAAGGAATATGATGGATTTAGTTTTGAAGTAGAATAGTTTTTCTAAAAGAGAGTATTTGTCCTGTAATTTATTCTTGGCATTTTAAGTGCAGAATGTGGGTTGGGATGAAAGGTCAATTTCCAAGTAAATAAAGGTGTGTGGTTACTGAATCCTGCAGGCAGAGTGTTGGTCAGAATCTGGTCAGCCAAACTGCAAGGTTGAGGAGGTTTCTGGCATCCAAGAGACACACTGGGCATTGTTCAGAGGTCCAAACTGAATTTGTTGAGATTCAGATATCAAGCTCAAGAAGGGAGAAAGGAATAGAATTCAGACTAAGAGAGTAGGATCACAGGGAAACAGGTTTCTAAATGACCTAAGTATAATTCCCAAGGCAGGTATTAGTTGTTTTCTACTCTGGTTTAATTTCTCTCTTTCCACTACCTGCCAAAAAATGTACAAAACAACTTAAAAAAAAAAAAAACTATACAGGTGATACATGTCCATTCAGAAGACAGAAAATACGGACTGACAAAAAGGAAAAAAAAAAATTAAATTACTCATAGGCCTGTCTTCCTGTAGTAGCTAGCCTCTGTTAACAAAATATATTCTTAAGGACTTTGTATACAATGAATGTGGGGCTCCCTGGGTAGCTCAAAGGGTAAAAAATCTGCCTGCAATGTAGGGGACCTGGGTTTGATCCCAGGGTTGGGAAGATCCTCTGGAGAAGGGCATAGCAATCCACTCCAGTATTCTTGCCTGGAGAATTCCAGGGACAGAGGAGCCTGGCGGGCTACAGTCCATGGAGTCGCAAAGAGTTGGACACAACTGAGTGACTAACACTACTACTAATGTATACAAAACACTGAAAAATTTGTGATACATGGTGTTTATATTCATCTCTAATCTGATTTTTTCTTTTATATAGTATACCATGGTCATCTTTCTACATTAATAATTACCTTTCTTCAGTATTCTTAATGAGGTCATAATATCTTCAATACCTGTACTATCATTTAAGTAATTTCATTTATTGAATGCTTCAAGATTTTGTTTCAGTTTTCTCCATTGTGAGCAATTCTTGGGTAAATATTCTTCTGATCATTAGGTCCTCAATGGAATTCTAACATTTAACCATTTAAAAATATTACAGTGAAAGAATATAGCATTTTTAGCACTTAAGCTAAAGAGTCCTCCAACAAAATAAAGCTCAGTTTTGAAACCAAATTATAATCTAGTCAATTAAATTGCAATTTAGTAATGAAAATAGAGTCTGAAAAACAACTACCAGATTTATTTGCTTTCATAATGGCAAATTCCTCTGAAAGGCTAAGGAATCAACTGTTCTAAAGCCTGATAAATTCACCTTCCTATTTTAGTTATGCGCAATCAAGGCAGCCTGAGGCTGATTCTCAACAGCAAACTCTGGGCTCAGATGCAGATTCAAAGAGCAAATCACAAAAATTTACAAATAACAGCTACCGATTTAGAAGACTATAACGTCAAAGTGTTTTTAATTCAGGTAAGTGACAAATTTCAGTGATAGAGGATTATCCTACTATATTTATAGATTTCTGCAGCCACTAATTTTTTTTTCCATTTTATTATACTAACCTGTACCACTGGCAAAAAATCAGTCATTTATTATGGTTGTTTATAGTCTAATCAGTCCAATTCAGTTCAGTTCAGTTGCTCAGTTGTGTCCGACTCTGCGACCCCATGGACTGCAGCACGCTAGTCTATACCAGACCTAAATTTGATATGAAGTTTAGAGATTAACACCACTTTAAAGTAGTCAATTGGTACTGGTCTTAAGACAGCTGTATTGGTATATGCTGTCAAATGTCTCCATTTTTCTTTACTGTTAAAATTATGTCAGCAGTCTTACTAAATCATCAGAGATACTACTGTCAGGATTGGCTCCTAGGAGGCCCGCACAATCCACACCCCGATGCTTACACTGTGTGCTGAAATTGAGGTTTTGAGATCACTGGAAAGGAACCAGTGAGAAATGGAAAAACACAGGGCTAGCAAGTTAAAAGAACCAGTCCAATAGCAATTTCCAATTCTGGACTTGAGCCAATCTCCAAGGTAACAGGTTTGCAACTGCTTTAGCTATTCTGGCAGCAGGAATGCTTGACCTCAAGTATAAGATCCAGGCAAAAGAGACAAAGCTGACATGAGTCAGGTGAGAAAAAAGGTGGATATCCCCCACATGCTGAGTATCAGAAGATGTGAGAAGCCTGAGTATCCAAGTGACTCAGGTAGAAGAAGATAATACAAGTAAACTGGCTTCCACATAATAATGGTAAAAAAAAGTTGGCAAGAGGCCACTGGTGAAAAACCAAAGATTTTAGTGCACTGTTAGGCATAAGTGATATTGAGTATTAAAATCTTAGAGTAAAATGCCTAAACCCTGTTTACCATTTAGGCAGATAATATTAGATACTCTGCTAGACCAGATGCCCCTGGCTTTGAGTGGGTAAAGCACTCTGCCTGAGACCAAGTCTGATACTGAGACTATGATTAGATTAGATTAAACTATGACCAGATTCTGCTGCTCAATATCTGGCTCATTCTGACTTTTTAAACTGTAGGGTAATTTTTAGATATTAGCAAACAAAATGCAATAAAAATCATCCAAAATTCCACTCCTAGAGATGGTCACTATTAATATTTTGGTCATATTATATTTTAGTTTTATAATATATATTTATATTATAATATATATATGTGTGGGTATGTTTATATATACATGTGTACCATATTATACATACTGTATGACTTTCAGACAAGTAATTTAGCCTTCCTCAACCTGATTTTACTCATCTACCAATGGAAGACAATAATAATGTACTTAATAAACTGATGGAGAAGATTAAATAGCTAACATTTGATTGTGAAATACACATATGTAACTTTTTCATTTATCAATGAAAATGAGTGTTTTCTGTTATTAAATTGTAGTCCATTCTTCAAGAATTCTTTTATAGGTGAAAATAATTTGTTCTATTATATACCATAATTATTTCCACTAATTCCATTTTGCTAAATACTTAGGTAATACAATGTGTTCATTATCATAAATTCTGCAAAGAATCCTCTATGTATATACATGTTATTTTTCTTGGGAAAAGGTTTTGACTGTCTTGACAAATTTATCTCTATAAATACTGAAGCAATTTTTATTCTCACTAGCATTTTCTTATGGTACTTCCTGGAAATTTTTTTTAAGCTTTGGAAATTTGTTGTTCAAAAAATATATATCATTGTGCTTTTACTTCTTGTTCTGAATTTCTTGAATGAAAATACCTGAATGAATTTGGCAATATGCATATATATGTATATATACACTCTATACCAGTGAAAGACATATTTAACTTTTAATGTAAAAAAAATCAAGGCAGCAGAACAGTATTTGTTTCAATTACAAATGCTCTCTCAATAATTTTTGTTAATTAACTTACTGAAGAAAAATTATACCTTTATACATAATATAAAAAATTAAATTAGTGAAAAGTCAACAAATATTTACTCAACACCTGCTATATATCTAATACAATATGAGACACAAAAATATTTTATTTCATTTGTACTTTTTCCCTACAAATAATTAAGGCACCTTAATAACATACTAACAGAAAACTATAAGACTCTTCTCCCAAAAAGTTGGCATGTAGTTGGTTCACTCCTCAGTCCTTGGCTTTGAAATATTTGGTAGCTCTTCGAAGGATTAGCAAAGAGAAAACTTTTCCCAGATTTTCTTTGAAACTGTGAAAAGATCCAAAAATGTAAGCCACTGACATGTTACCTTAAGGAGTGCTGACTTTGATGATGAAAACCAAGTCCCAGCCAATCTGTCAACTAGCTGTGTAGACTCAGACAAGCTGTGCATTTCTGAGCCGTAATTTTCTTATCTGTAAGGGGAAAGCGAAACAAGTATTTATTTAATATATGTACTATATGCTTTCATTAATATAAAAATTAGCAGATAAATTATTGTTAAATAATTAACCTACAGTTTTATTATAAGGATTGAAAAAAATAAAAGATAACTACAGCAAATGTTATACCAATGCTATTCTCACCATTATTTTTTATATTAATAGTAAAAGTAAAAATAGAAGAAGTATTGAAAAGGAAAAATAGAAAAGTAGAGAAAGCAAGGACCTCTGATGTATTTATGGTAGAACATCATAGACCCTTTGAATGAGCTTTCTGTGGAGCTGCACAGCTTGCTTCCCTGGGGGCTCAGCCAGTAAAGAATCTGCCTGCAATGCAGGAAGCCCTGGTCCCAACCCTGGGTCAGGAAGATCCCCTGTATACCCTGGAGAAGAAGCTGGCAATCCACTCCAGTACTCTTGACTGGAAAATCCCGTGGACAGAAGAGCCTGGCAGGTGACTTAGTGACTAAACCACCACATGCAGCTTTCAGGGCTGTCTAAGCAAGTGATGTAAAAGAAATGAAAGTTTTTTTTCTCCCTCTAACTCTCTGATTTTCTACACTGTAACACAGTTTGGAGGAAAAATGGTCTTAACACAAATTCAAACATAAACTTCAAATCACAAAATTTCATTTTCTCAGTTTAAAAGGCACAGATTGGGACCTCTTATCAAATTATCTATGTTAGGATTCAATTTGGTTCAAGATGAATTGGCTCTTTACCCTTTTGTTTCTAGGGTTATTTACATTCTAGATTTATGCCATATAATTCTTTCCTTATTAAAAGTGAAAGATTACAAATTTGTAAAGTGTGGCTATCACTGAGTTACTTATATTCTTAACAAATTTAATTTACCTCTTGTAGGCCAGTGCCAAAGACACAGGATGTATGCATGCAGCCATCCATCACCGTCTTGTTGCACTTCGAAGCTTCGACAAGCAGACAGATGCAAATCAAACTGAAAGCCATTCAGAGACAGTTCTCCAACAGTTTAACTATGATAGCTGTGATGAGGATGAAGAGGATCTCATCCAAGCTACTAAAACTAGATCAGGTAAAGGACTTTTCTTCTGTTGGTTTGAGGTTTAAGAAGGAGATCTTATTCACAGCCCTTTATAGGATACAGATTTTTAAAAAGTGGAACTTGTCTGTTCAAAGTGGGTGGGGGTTAGAGCCCTAGATGTTTGGATCTGAGAAGCAGGTCTGAAAATCAGACTTCTACAGTGGCCTGTGTTGGGATTTCACCAAAAGTCAGTCTAATTGTAGTACCTGCACATCATGTGCATATACATCTCATAAAAAACCATATTTACAATGTAAAGTATTCATTGCTACACTGAAACTAATCATATATTCATATTTCTCTTCACTTGTTCTCATTCTCCTATTATTGGCCATAATAAGAGAAATTATAAATACTGGTAATGGAGCCAACAGGCAAATCTGGCTTGAAACACTGATAAACCCTGTTTATTCCCTTTTTGGAATTTGACTGTTTTATTCTCAAAGACTTTCTTTACGTAGGGCAAAAAGTGCTGTTTCTTTAATTACACCAGGATTGGTAAATTGAACAGGCAGTGGAACCAGTGGTTAATGGATTTTTAGATTTTAGTGCTTGTCCTGATGAGTGAATTTAAAACTAAAATTCATCATTATATTTGGAGAAAAACCTTGTCAAGGAAACAATAAGCCCAGCTTTATTATACAGATAGAACTATTCCAATAAAGTCATCCAAGTATTTTCAGTAATAGTTTCATTTAGCCCTGAATTTTGCTCTGAGGAGGACTGACAAAGGACTTACAAAAATAGTATATTAGCAGGCATTTCCCCAGTTTTTGATCATTTAAATCTTAAAGCTATTTTAATCATACATAATTTAAGAATCTATCAAAGAACATGTGAAAACTTGATGAAATAGCTTCCTTGGCCTAGTACTAAAAATGTAATCAAAAGGAAGAATACATGAAGCATGCAGAGCAGGATCATAACCTGATAGACTCTGAGCCAAAGAACTGAGTGAATATGACTTTTCTTGTTACTATCAAGTAAAAGGTTTAATTATTTTTTAACTGTACAAAATTTGTAAATTAAAATCATTATAACATTTATATTGTCAACATTATAGAATGAGGTCTATTAGAAAATGAGCTGGTATCCATTAAAAGTGAAAGTCACTCAGTCGTGTCCAATTGTGATCCCATGGATTGTAACCTGCCATGCTCCTCTGTCCATGGAATTCTCCAGGCAAGCATACTGGAGTGCGTAGCTATTCCCTTCTCCAGGGGATCTTCCCAACCCAGGAACTGAACTGGGGTCTCCTGCATTGCAGGTAGATTCTTTACCAGGTGAGCTACCAGGGAAGCTCATCTTAAAGGAAATCAGTCCTGAATATTCATTGGAAGGACTGATGCTGAAGTTAAAGCTCCAAAACTTTGGCCACCTGATGCAAAGAACTGACACATTGGAAAAGACCCTGATGCTGGGAAAGATTGAAGGCAGGAGAAGGGGATGACAGAGGATGAGATGGTTGGATGGCATCACTAACTCGATGGACATGAGTTTGAGCAGGATTCGGGAGTTGGTGATGGACAGAGCCTGGCAGGTTGTAGTAGTCATGGGGTTGCAAAGAGTTGGACATGACTGAATGCCTGAACTGATAAATTAAAAATGTTAACTTGTAATTAAGTGGCAAAATTATTTCATCAACAGATGTCATATTTATGAATAGATCCTATATTCTACCATATTTCATTTCAGGAAAGGGGTGATATGTGACTATCTTCAAACAAAATGAGAAACAATGGGAATAGGGAAAGTAAATGTCAATCATATGAATCCATCTTTTCTTGCTAACTTTTCACTTAGCACTTTCTCCAGTAAGTGTTGTACATAAATGCTAAATGTAATGGAAGCAATAAAATGTCTGGATTTTTAAACTTGGTTGTCCATGAATCAAGGGAAGGTTTAATTATATGAAAATATTACATTTATAATTAGGAACATTTCCAAATGTTACTTAAAACATACAGATTCTATATGTTTCATTTCCTTGATAGCATGCATATTCATGAGTATTCATGTTCAGTTATATTCAATTTTAAATTTATATCACAGATTGTTCTAGGTGGACCCACAGACAGTCAGTTGCCTGTTCATGACTACTGCTATGAACATGACAACATCTGCAAAGAAAACACCTCACTGAGAAAAATCACCTTGCTGAAAAAAACTAAACTATCCTAATCACTAAATGAGAAGATCCTATTCATTCCATTCCTTGAATGATTTAACAGAAAACTTTAAGAAATATAATTTGTTGCAATTAAAATGTTTCTCTGATGTAGTATAATAATTATGAGGTTTTATATTTTGATTATTGTGAAGAAAATGGAAGACTTTAAGAAACACATGGCCTATGAAAGTTCAAAATTTATCATTTTAAAAGAAGTTAATTTAGAATAATATTTTATTACTAATTTGGACTATTCATCACACTGATGGATACAATAGTTAATACTGTAAATTGCTGGATTTGATAAATATCTCACTAAGGTATTTATTGTTCAGTCATATATTGTCTAGCCATAAAACATATTTTACAAAAGTTCCAGAGTCATTTCTTTGAAAAACATTATAACTGCATGATAACATGCTATTCTATCATGTTTTTTCTTCTGGGAAATGTATGTTTGCATTTAACCTTTGGATTCCCTAATTCTATAAGATTATTTATTCATGGTGTAAATTCTTTTAAAGAGAGTATCTATTCTTGCATTTATGTCTATTGCACTTTAATATATACTTGACTCAAGGTCAGTATCCAATTTTTGTTGAAGGAATGAGCAAAATACATTAGCTATGTATTAAAATAGTAAGTATACAAAAAGTGAAATATGTTAATGTGTTCTTTGCTTTACTTATATAATTAAGTTTCCATTAATATTCTAGTAGGTGTGGCTGTACAAAGACTTAAAAAAATATATCATATGTAGCCAAATTAATTTTTTTCTTAAATGCCATTATTAAGGTAAGCCACAGTAATTTCAATAATTTCACACAACAGAATTCTGATGCTTCTCCTTTGAGATGTGTTTCAGAGACACTTCAGGAGTTACACAAGAAAATCAGCATCACTACTTATGGCCACATGTCACTTTTCAATCCAGTATGATCGATCACCCCATGGCATCAAAATGACTTCTGATTATCTCCCCTAAACAATACTCCTTTAAGGGCATCTTAATCTCCTCAAGCTTCCATAACAAAATACCACAAATTGGGTGAGTTAGACAACAGAAATTTATTTTTCACTGTTTTAGAGGCTGGGAAGTCTAAAGTCAAGATGCTGGCAGGTTGGTTTCATCCTGAGACCTCTCCTCTTGGCTTGTAGAGTTACCTTGGTAGGATCTACCACCTCTAATGACCACTTTCTTGTGGGAGAACAGGGAGTGAGTGGGGAGAAAAAGAGAGCAAGTTCTTTGGTGTCCCTTTTTATAAGAACACTGATCACATTAGACCAGGGCCCTACTGTCATAATCTCTTCTAACCCTCATTACCTCCAAAAGCCTCATCTCCAAATATCACTACATGGTAAGTAGCCTTCAACAGATGAATTTTGAAAGAACACAAACATTTAGTCCATAATGAGAAATAATTCACACTTACAAAATTATTTCTTAAAATGTTCTAAACAAACATATTTGGAATAACATAACAGCTTCATTTCTTTGTTGGAGAATAATATTCATCTGGAAATATACATTTGAATATACTTTTTTTTAAAGCTACATTATTTTATTATAGTGCCATATATAATAGTAAAAGCAATTATATATGTGCATTTATTGTCAAATCTGAACTCAGGCTTGAAAGCTTAGCACATGAAACTTGAATTACTCTTTTAGACTATAATTTAGCTAGTATGTTACAACTGTTGCAAGGTTTACTCTTTCCCTGTAACTCTGTAACTACTAAAAGTATCTAACTTTCATTTATTCTTCCAGTGACTATAGAAGAAATATAGTATATAAAATCCTTTACATCTAAATTAAGCAATGACTCAGGAACTGAAGAGAAGCTAATGCGAGAGAGGAAGAGAGAAAATGTCTAGAGAAGGAAAAAAACAATAAAGAAGAGCTCTAACATGAAGGAAGAATCAAAAGAATGGAAAATCAGGAGTTTTAAGTTGTTTTTTTTTTAAATTCTAAAATAGTGACTCTGATGCAGGACAAATTCAGAGGAAATTTTTCTTTAGAAGCGTAACATAAACTGGGAGACATCTGAGAAGATATTAAAGAATTGGTTCTAAGATCTTAGCTGGTATGGGAACACTAGGATTATACTAAATTGTTAAAGTAATGCAGAGAAACAGATTTTCTTTATCTTCCTGACATGTTCTTCCTTGCCCCGTGTTTAGTGTGAAGATGAACTTTCTCAATGCCTCAAACATTTTATCTGAAGATTATGGCATGGCTATTGAAAGTAGAAACATATTTATCTTATGATTTTCAACCCATTTCCACTCTACTATTCCTCCTTATACTCTCTATGCATATATTTAGTAATATTTTGGGGTGATAATAGAAATAGGAACATCTTATAGTTTCTCTTTGTCCTATATCTTCAGCTCTGCTCTGTGAAAGTGTTAGTCACTCAGTCATGTCTGACTCTTTGCCACCTCATGGACTGTAGCCCACCAGGCTCCTCTGTCCATGGAATTCTTCAGGCAAGAATACTGGAGTGGGTTGCCATTCCCTTCGCTGGGGGATCTTCCTGATATCTTCATCTAGCCTTCTTCTTTTTGACTTTTCTGTATCCTTTGTCCTCCTCCTCTTTAAAGTGAAGAGATCAATCATCTAATGATGTTTATTTTTACAAGTTACTAGGTAGGCGACTTTCAAAGCACACATCTTCTTTCACAGAACCAGCTTTTATTAAAAGTTACTTAGATAAATACTCTTCCAATATTTTAGAATATTGATTATTCTAAATACACTCTAGATATATTTAATATGACATCTAATTATATATTTAATCTAAACATTCTTTTCTAAATTTTCTAAATTTAGATTTCTAAACCTAACTTCTTTTCTTTTGATCTAAACATTCCGACAGAAAACATTCTTTTCTATCAATAGTACTGTTTAATTATTTAATTTTTTGGCTGTGCCGGGTCTTCATTGCTACCTGGGTTCTCTACAGTTGAGGTGAGCAGGGGCTCTTCTCTACTTGAGGTACATGGGCTTCTCATTGCAGTGGCTTCTCTTGCTGTGGAGCATGGGCTCTAGGTGTGTGGGCTCAGCAGTTGTGGCTACTGAGCTCTAGAGCACAGGCTCATGGGCCACAGTGTAAAGGATCTTTCTGAACCAGAGCTCGAACCCATGTCTCCTGCATTAGCAGGTGAATTCTTTACCACTGAGCCACCAGGGAAGCCCCTCAAGTGTAATTTTATACCAAGTTATCAGCTTAATTATAAACCAGCAAAATATTCTCTCTTAAATATTTTACATCCATTACTGCCAAAGCCAGGAACCCTTAGTTGTCAAGGACTAATATCCTGTATTAGAGTATGTGGATGTCATGTTTCAGAAAGCCAGAGGGTGGTGGTATATATCTTTCAGAATTAGAACATACATGAAGTGAGCTGGAGGGGTTGTAATGATTGGGAAGGGTAAATCTTAACTTTTATAAACCTGCAAGTTGTGAACATCACAATTATAATTATTCCCCATAAAATGTTGAGAACAATAAAGCTTGCTTGAGATGTGGCTAACTGGTTAAGTTTATTCACTAGAAAATAACACCAGCCTTGTCATAGATGGAGTCTGAGTATGAAACTCAAACATTATTTTGGTTATTTGAGGGTAGCTGAAACTGATGTTAAATCCACAAATGCCAACACTTTGTTTTGCATGGCCAGATTAAACCCACAGTACTGGTAATTTTTTACATCACACGTGAAATTCACAATGGTAATTTTTGACATCATATGTGGAATTCACAGACATGAATATTTGAACGTAGTTGACATTTCTAAGATGATATTTGGAAACTACAGCATTGGAGGAGTTACAGAATTAACTGGCAAATATTTAGCCTAATAAACACTTGATAGTATAATAGTTTCAAACACAGGATCACCCAAATTTCTTGCTATCTAATGGACAATTAGATATATGGACAAATTGCTATCTGCCAATCTAATGGACATAAAAGACTATTTCATAATTTAAAAAAAAGACTATTTCACTATTACTTTAATTTGCATTTTTCTGATTTCTAATAAGGCTGAGGATCCTTTAGATATGTACTCACTGCTTGTATTTCTTCTAATAAATTTGTTCATAATCTTTGCAAAGGCTTCCTAGCATACAGAAGATAAAAGTCAAGTTCCTAAGCATGGATATAACATTTCATGTCTTTCCTCTGTCTTAAATCTCTTGCCTCACCTCCCACCATTGCCTGCCTCCCTCTAAATGTTCTAGGTTTTAAGAATTGTTATTTTATTATTTCATACCTTTGCACACACTGTTTACTCTGTGGAATTCCTTTCTTACTCTTGCTGATTCTGCCTAATACCTAACTCATCCTTCACGACTTAGCTTGAGACATTCCCAGAAAGCTTTCCCTAACTCCATTTAGGCTAAGCTAAGACGTGTTCCTCCAAATTTCTATAACACCCTGTGTATAATTTTACCATTGCACAGACTGTATGTTCTTCAAGGGGAGAGACTACCTTTTATTTATCATTAGCACTTAGCAGGGTACCTCACTAATAGCAGGCAATCAAATATAATTTGATCTCCATTAACACGTGTTGTATATATAAGACTCAAGAGGTGTTATCCAACAGGAAGCTAGAAATAAGGATCTAAAACTCTGGACATAGGCTGGGCTAAAGATACTGATAGTAGCTGAAGTTCATGGAAGATGAAGAGGGCTAAAATTTGCCAAGTGTATACCTCATAATGGGCATGTGGCTAGGTATTTGTACATATTATTTATAACTTTACAAGGAAGCTGTTTTCTTTTGTAAATGAAGAATTAGGCTCACAAAGGTTAAGGGAATAGTTCAAGATTGACAAAAGTAATAAAGAGTAAAGCTGTGATTTGAACCAAGTTCTTTTAAAATCCCAAACCCAGGCTCTTTTCATTACACAAAAGTAAATAAGCTCGTGCAGAAGAGTGGAGAGGGGAAAAAAAAAGAAAAAAAAAAAAAAAGAAGAAGAAGAGTGGAGAGGGAGAGAGAGACAGAGACAAAATGGAAGGAAAGGAGAGGGAAAGATAGGTCCTAAAGATGAGCTCGGGAATAACTCAGAAAGAGGACAGGGGGATGGGCAGAATACCATTAGGGATTGGTGCACTGTCAACCAGAGTAAAAATTTCTAAAGGAAATGATAACCATTTCAAATGAAGGACCAAGTCATTTAAGGGCTGATAAATGTCTTACAAGTTACAGATATTTGGTCACCTTGGAAATAGCAGTAAAGTGGTTGGGAGAAACCAGATTACAACAGGATGATGGATAAGTAGGAGGCAGGGATGCTGACCAATAATGAACCAATGACTCATTCAAGAATCTTAGCTATAAAGAGAAGACATGTGTGTGAAAGTCACTTAGCCATGTTTGACTCTTTGTGACTCCCTGGACTGTAGCACAGCAGGGTCCTCTGTCCATGGGGATTGTCCAGGCAAGAGTACTGGAGTGGGTTGCCATTCCTTTCTCCAGGGGATCTTCCTGACCTGGGGATCGAACCCAGGTTTCCCACACTGCAGGCAGATTCTTTACCCCCTGAGCCACCAGCAATATATAAAGAGCTAGGGCTTAGATGGCTGTTTGCTTTTTTTAATTTAAAGATGTATGAGACATGAGTATGTTTAAATAGTGAAGAGGAAAGTCCAATAGAGAAGGATAATTCAAGATATAATAAAGGTGATAACTTGATGGAGTATTATTTTTGAGCAGGTGGAAGAAGATGGGATCCAAAAATAACAATGGACAAAGGGACAGATATATCAAATGAGAAGACGTCAGTGTAGACAAGTTTGTAGCTGGAAACGGGGGAGATCTAAAAATTTGAGTACTTAATGGTGAAATCGGAAGAAATGGGTTTGAAATTTTGCATATGCATAACAAAACTCATAGGCTTTGATCCAAAAGGTTTTCTAGATTCATTTTTTTTCTATCAAATGGATCAACTGGCTTTCTGCTAGTCACCCAAGCTTCAAACTGCAGTCTAATCGGTGACCTCTCCCTTTTCTTCCTTCGATAGCTAAGGAATTATAAAGTATTGAAATAGTATGACTAGAAAGGACCTTGAGAATGTTCAAAGTTACAAATGAGTAACACATCCTACAGAAGTTAAGAGGTATGCTTAAGTGTGCCCTGCAAATCACTATTAGCAGCTGCTATGAGGCAAAGCTTCTGGTCAGAAGGGGTAAGTGACCTATTAAAAGCAAACATCTATCAGACTCCATTATGTATTTCAGTCTAATATACTATGTGGCACATAGTAGGGACTCAGTAAGTATTCAGTGAACCCATGAATGAATGCTGGCGGTAGTGGCTAGCTGAAAACTAAAAGTCACAGATTTGGAATCAATTTGGGCTTGGCAGAACCTTGGAATCACTCTAGCTCAACTCCCTCATTTTGATGAGGAGTCCGAGGCCCAGAAAGATGAAGCAACCTGCTCAAAGTCCAGGAGCTAGTTACCGATAGTGCTAGGACTACAAAGAAGCAAAGAGGGTGCCAAAACAAATAGATCTAAAGAGCAGGAGGGATGAACACCAGGATCTGCACTGCCACTCGACTCTCTTGTAATAGGTGCATTTTCTTCCATTTTCATTACTTTTGCTCTGTAGCTCGGATTTAAGTGTAACTGTGCCAACAGTGCCCGCCTCACCCTTCCTTCTCTTGCCTCCTAGTTTGTTCCACATTCCAAAGCCAGATCAGTAATATCAAACATTGCTCTCAGGACTCACTTCACTTCAGTTAAAAGCCTCCAAAAGGTCAACTACTGCCTACTAGGCTTTCCTGGTGCCTCAACTGGTAAAGAATCCGCCTGCAATGCGGGAGACCTGGGTTCCATCTCTGGGTTGGGAAGACGCCCTGGAGAAGGGAACTACCCACTCTAGTATTCTGACCTGGAGAATTCCATGGACTATTCCATGGGGTCGCAAAGAGTCGGACATGACTGAGCGACTTTCACTGCCTCCAGAGCAAGATCCAAATTATTAACATTCTTAACCCTTCACTTTTTTCCTACCTACTTTTACAACCGTATCTCTCCATTGAGAAATGTTCCACTTGCCCAGACTCGTCTTTCCATCAGCCCCTTTCTCAAAGGCTAACCCCGCCCCCGCCTCCCCCCGGGGGAAGGTAGAGGGAGGTTATAGTTGTTTTGTAGGTTAGCAGTAGCTGCCACCTGCGCAGCGCCGTGGGGCCCCATGCTTAGCCGTGCCCGGTACTCGGCTAACTGCTCTCTTTCTCCCTTGCAATTCTTAACAATTTCTGAACAAGGGACTCTGCGTTTTCATTCTGCAGTAGGCCCCGCAAATAGGGGAGCGAATGATTCCTAAGTCGGTCTCCTCAGACTCTATCCCGGAGCCGGACACATCAGCCACTCAATACTGCAGGAAGGAACAAAGGGTCTATCTACACTAACGAAAAAGAATGCAGAGCAAGGAGTGACGGCCGCACGTGCTTTCCCGCCAGGCGCTTAAAACCGCACTCACAGGCCCAGCGCCACCTCAGACTAGTTCCAGCCGGGTGCAGCTCCTACACCAAATAGAATTCCAGCCCTTCCCCCGGCCTCAGCCAATCCCCGAAGCTCCTCGGCCTCCAAAACCTCTGCGGGTTCTGACTGGCTCACGGAGTCGGCCTGGGGGCGGGTGCAGACGCGGGGGAAAGGGGTGGAGCTAGAGGTCGGTCCCCGGTCGGGGAAGTGGCCACTGCGCAGGCGTGGATGGAAAAGGATACCCAAACAAACACAGCCTCGCCACTGGGAGGCTTCCCGCTTTTCCCCGCCCACCTTTTTCTTGGGCTCTAGGGACTCCCAATCGCCCGGCTTTCCCCGCCCCCGTCAACGTCTGGGCACGTCCTCCTCGCGGCGCGGGCCACGCACTGCTGTGCACTTAACCTCTGCCAGCCTGGCGGGAACCCGGAGGCCGGAGCGGTGCGGACGGCAAGCAGTGCTGCCGGCGGGGAGCCGAGGCCTGCAGCCGCTGCCGGGCCGACGATGACTTGTTACCGAGGCTTCCTGCTGGGCGGCTGTCGTCGCGTGGCTGGGGGCCGGGCAGCGGCGCTCAGGGGGCCGGGCGCGGGAGGGCCCGCCGCGCGGCCGTGGCTTGGCGGTGAAGGCGGCGGCCGGCGGCACCTGGGGCACGGGCAGCCGCGCGAGCTGGCGGGCTGTGGTAGCCGCCCCGACGGCGGCTTCCGCCCGTCGCGGGTGGTGGTGGTGGCCAAAACCACCCGGTACGAGTTCGAGCAGCAGCGATACCGTTACGCGGAGCTCTCGGAGGAGGACCTGAAGCAGCTGGTGGGTCCTGGCGGCCCCCGCTCTTGTGTCTCGGCCCAGGCCTGGGCCGCGACTTTGGGGGGCCGGCCGCGCCCACTCGGGCGAGACCTCTCGGGACAACCCTTCTTCCCGGGGCATCTTAGATGCCAGGCCTGCCCTACAGGCTGCCCTCCATTCCCTCCGGCTTCGCTCGTAGGCGCCCCTCTCCAGCGTTCGTGCGTGTGCGTGTGTGTGTTTAGAGAGAGAGAGGGACAGGTTCACTGTTAGTGTGAAGACCCCCGCCCCCAAGCCGGGGGTGTCTGGAGGAACCTTGGGTGAGAGAAGGACTCCCACTGTGGGAGAGGTTTGGGGATTCATTTGCGCCCTCGCCACCCACACCCCCTTTAAACAACTCGGAGCGAGGTAGGTCTGAAGCTTGGATGCTCTGGGACTCTCTCCCCAGGCCTCCCCGAGGGCAAAGGGGGCCTTGGGTGCCGCTGCAGGCAGCGGAAAAGAGGTTCTGGTACCGCGGACACACCCCCTTTTCCTGGGCACGACTGCCAGGCCTGGGGCACTCCGGAGAGCCAGTTGGCTTCAGCCTTTTCTGTGCTGGAACGTGCTCCTCAGGCAAGGTTCTAGGAGTTTGCTTTAAAAGCTCACGTGTCTCCGGTGCTAGGAAGAGCAAGGGAGAAATTTGACTTTGAATGTATGTTATTAAATAGAAACGTCCAAACGAAGGCAGGTAAATACAGCGCCTATGTCTATAGTGTAGTAATGCCTCCACAGCAGACAGTTTGGTATAGGTGTTTATTAATATCTTTGCAAAATATATAAATACACCTAAGGTGGTGAATATTACCTAGTTTCACTCTTATTTTTGAAGCGTTTGATCCCATGCCCACACCCACTTTAGGAAAAGGAGAATGTTTCTAGATGAACAGTATATCCGTTGGAAATCTCTTAATTGTTGACACCACCCCAAAAGACTTTGGAATTAATTGCCTATAACCATAATCCTGTAGCATTCTGTACCAGAATAGACACTCTGGTCCTGAACTTGTGGTTGGCAATCATCAGCAGTTTTTTGGTAATGTTTTGTGGAGTTATCAAAACGAAGGGCTTCCCTGCTGCAATGCAAAAGACCCAGGTTCATTCCCTGGGTGGAGAAGAACCCCTGGAGAAGGAAAATGGCAATCTGCTCCAGAAAGTGAGTGTGAGTTGGTCAGGCCTGTTGGACTCCTTTGCTCCCCCATAGACTGTAGCCCAAGCTATAAGTACTGACTGTTTTCAATATTTAGCTTCATTGTTTAATGAGTTAATTGAGGAGGGCCTCTGTATTCATCTGATGGCAATGCTAGGTGTACATGTCTCTCCTTAAAGTGTTTGAAGGTAGCAGTTTATAGAAAACATTTGCATCATTTAAAGAGTAAATCAAACAGTTTGAGCAAGAGGTTGGAGTTTGTGTTAAAGGAATGAAGCTGAGGGTGAGGCAGGGAATAAAAAGGTGAGCAGTAAGTGTTTCTGATTTGGGAAAGAGGTGGTGCCCTTTGGGTCCTGCTTCTAATTCTGTAGATGTTATGCTTTTTAGAAGCTGTCAAGTGCTGTATATGCATAAATGTGTTCTTCATAACAATTTTATGGAAGCCTCCCATGACAGTTAAAAACAGTACACTTGGTTGGCATGATCAGTGTGTGGGATTGGGGGTCAGGAGCCTGGAGCCAGGCCCAGGTCCTGTGTGGTCAGATTCCTCTGTTGCTTTTTAACTTCTCTGGGGCTCCTTGGTTACAGTGGTGCTTTTGGTGAGGCGCTGTCAGTTTCAGGGTGCGTCTGCCTAGTTCACTGTGTGAAATACTAGGATTGGACGAGAGAGCCTCCAAGGCCCTTTCTGATATTTTAAGACTCTGAATAACCTGTATAAGGCCTCACGATGTGAGTGGCATCTGAATTAGGTTAATTCTTGGGTCTCTGAACTAGATTACCACTAATCAAAACTTTTTAAAATGTAAGGCAAATCAAGTCTTTCAAAATCGAACTACCTGGTACACCCACTTTGAGTATCTGAAGAGAAATCTGTAATGGGTAAATATTTGCCTATTGCTTGAGTATGCTGTCTGGAATAAGAACACTTTTGAAGTAACACTTCTGGACTGTGGAACAGAGTTTTGAAATAGCTGCTGTTGGTATCATTTCAACTAAGTTTTATTGGATTTGTCTCTAACTGATGTGAGGTATTTATATTAAGGCCAGTATTCAAAATGAAGGGCTTCCCAGGTGACTGAGTGGTCAAGAATCCTCCTGCCAAGCAAGAGACATGGATTCGAACCCTAGGTCAAGAAGATGCCCTGGAGAAGGAAATGGCAACCCACTCAAGTATCCTAGCCTGGGAAATCTCATGGACAGAGGAGCCTGGCAGACTACAGTCTGTGGGGTCACAAAGAATTGCGACTTAGCGACTAAACCACAACACATTTGGAATGGAACAGTATTAGGTGGAGCCCGTACCAGAGTTCAGGGACAGGCCAAACAATACTGGACTGTGTGAAATTGTTCTAAAATGGGATTCTGTGATAGGAATGATATGGTTAATATTGTTTGCTATTTTGCTGGGGTAAAAGATACTGAGGGATATGAATCATGTGAATTGGGTATAAAAGAAAGTCACCAAGTGCTTCCATGAGTGTTCTGCCACTGTGGCTGGCTGTGTCTATGGAGTCTTGGTAACCTGAAGTTTTATAGCAGATGGTTCTCTTTTGTGGTGGTGGTGGTGATTGTTCTGTGGCAAAATAGATCTCTATTAGGGTATTTGTTAAAATGAAAATGAAAGATGAGGGATAGAATGCAAGTATAATTTCATACCCTGAAGCTTCATGGTTCTCTAACCTTGTGGAAACATAAACAATTAAAGGAAATATTTCTTAGTTGATAAAGCATAAACAGACTGGGTGAAAGTTTGACTCTTCATTGCTCATTCATATTGGTTTTACTTTGGTTTATTTTCAGTTCTTGCATTTCCTTTTCTCCTAACTGATAAGTGAGTTTTCTTGTGAATAAATTTATAGTCAGTGATTTTACCTTTACTGGCTCAAAACTTTGCAAGGACTAATTAAACTATTTTATTACACTTGCCTCATAAGTGATGTAGCTGTCAGTGGATGTGGAGCTTATATTAACAGGGTTGATGCCACTCACAAACTAAATCTTTGGATGAATCAAAACTGATTGGAAAGGATTTTGCCATTGTAAACACACCTATTCGCCAAAGAGAATGTTTTATTTCAGAGTATTTTAATATATGCCAAATAACAAATGAACCATTTCCACCTTTCTCTGGCTCCGCTCCAAGTCATACAACCCCAGAATCAACTCCTTTTAATGGTTTCCATTTTTAATTTCTTTTTAAATTAGTGTCCTAATGGGATAGCATTATTTCATTTAGTAGTCCCTCTGTCACTGGCTCCAGTTCTTCCTAGTTACTGCCTTCTTAGCAGATTTGGGAGATGCAGCGCCTTGGATTTTGTTCTCACTCTGAAAACAGTGGTGTAACTTGTAGTTCTTGGGCAGATAACATTTCTGCCACATGTGCAGTGAGTGTAGTGTGTGCACCAGGAGTATTTATCAAATGAATGAACACGATCTGGAGTCATGCCAGAGCCTTCCAACGGAACCTCACTCCTTTCACATCTTCCAGACACAGGAACCTGAGTAGTCTATCCAAAGTGAACATCTGGCCACTTTATCCCTCTGCTTAGAACGCTTCAAAAGCTCCCTGTAACCCATAGAGACACCCAGGGAATTTGTTAGAATGCAGGTACCTGAACCTTCCTTTCTTCCTCTCAAATGTAAAGATTCAGTTTGTGGAGAACTCCCAGACTCTGAACCATAGCCTTAAGACTGCTGATGCTCAAGGGATTCACATTTTTTTTTTTTTTTTTTTTGCCCGCCCTTCCCCGGATTCACATTTTTAACAAGCTCTCCAGGTTTGCAGTTGGTCCCCAGATCACACTTTGAGAAACGTTATTGTAGGTGAACCTTTATTATCCTTCGTGTGCTAAAAACAAGGTCTTTTAGGAACTGACTTGGGTCCACCTCTTAAGCTTCATTTCCCATCAGTTCTTGTCTAGAACTTCATTTTCCATTGATTTCAAACTGCTTTAATTTCCATTAGATGTTGTGCTTATTTAATTAATTTCTTTATGTATCAGTAACACATTAAAATGGTTCAAAATGTAAAAGATACAGAAGAGTATACAGTGAAAACTCTCTTATTCTTGTCAATGGACACTCAGTTTTTGTCCCTGAAAGTAACCAATGTTAATTTCTTGTGTTTTCTTTCAGAAATAATCTGTACATACAAACCCACAGAGTGAAATGTTTTTTCTTTATCCCATCTCCCTTTACTCAGTGCTAGCATATTGTTTAAGTTATTCTGCCCCTTCTTCCTTTTAGTATGTACATAGTACTTATTGTGTGCAAATACCTTAGTTTTAAAAAATATACTATGTAATGAATAGTAATAATTTGTGTTATTGAATAACAAATGATTTGTGTTATTGAATAACACAAATAATAATTTGTGTTAATGAATCAAGCTCTAAATACTTAAAAGTGAAATTGCTAAGTGAAAAAAATTTGAAATTTTAATTGGTATTGCCAAATTGCTTCCCTTAGAGGCTGTACCAGTGTATACCTTCACCAGCAATATATGAAGGTACTTATTTTTTCATAAACAGCTTAGCACATTTTGGGGTTTTTGTTAACCTGTAGGTGAAAAATGGTATTTCAGGGTAGTTTGATTTGCGTTCACCAATGTCTTTACCTTTGTAGCCCCTTTTGCTTTGAATCCTCCTTCATCCTTTAGCCCAGGGATCCCTAAGCCTGCCCAACTCCGCCCTCCACCCCCCCCCCCCCACCCCCGCCTGGCCAAGGACCTCTGTTGGCTGGTGGTCTGTTAGGAACCCTGCCCCACAGTGGGAGGTGAGTAGCAGGCAAATGAGAGGAGCTTGGTCTGTATTAACAGCCCTCCCTATTGCCCTGATTACTG